GACTAACGGCTCTACACCTCTGAGCTGGATGGAGGGTCAGGGTCACTTGGAGCAGTTTGCTGTGGGGGCAGGGCCCAGGGAGGGGGGTCCCCTTGCCACGGGGGGGATGCCCTGAGCACACCCACTCCTCAACAGCGTGGACGAATGAGCTGGGAGGGATATTTTAGCCTTGACTTTTGTGTTCCTGGTGTGTTTCTAATGGTGCTTTACATGAGTGCCTGGGGAAACATGGGGTTTATTGGCTGCAGCATCTTCCTCCTGGGCTGACGGGACCTTTGGGGTGGGTTTGGGATGGGGGAACCTGCCCTATTCACTTGCAGGGGACAGCACAGCTAGGAGATGTATGAGCAAAGCTCCCACCCAGATACAGGGGTGCAGCCAAATTCCTGGTGGGATCCCCTTGCAGGCCCATGCTGTTGTGCCCCTGCAGTGTGAATAATGCCACACACACACAGACACACACATGCCAACCTCTTCTGGCATGATCTCCATGTCCCAGCCTTGCCCCTGATATTTTTATGAATGATGAATAAATGATACAACAAGAAAAACCTCTCCGGTAGCTCAAGGCCTCTTTATTAATTCAGCAAGAGTGGGTCATCTCCAAACCCAGCTCATCCCTCTGCTGGATTGGAGTGTTTTGCCAGGCAAGCTGAGCTTGCTCGGGGGAGTTCCCGGAGCTGAGGGTATCCAGGAGGATGGGAGGTGATGTTCATGTGCCCACAGCAGCCAAGGTTATCCAGGAGGATGGGAGGTGACATCCCTGCTGCCCCATTACCCATCCCAACAGCAGGACATGGCACTGAAGGTCCAGGATTTGAACCTCCTGCAAACCAATCTCTATGGAGAACCAGGGCTACATGGATGGGTCCCTGCATCCCACACACCTTTGCTCCTGTCCCAAAGGGAGCAATGCAGCTCACCCTATACAGCCCCAGCCCTGTGTCTCACAGCCCAAGGTTTCTGTGCTCAAAGGTGGGTTTCTCACCCCCTGCAATAGCTCCTGCCAAGGGTTTGCACCGGGAGTGGTACAGTGGGAAATACATTCAGGCACCTGGGATGAAAAAGGGACAGGAGATTCACTGGCTTTAATATCCTGAAGCTATTGGGTGAGAAACAGCTTTTATTCTCCTTCGGGTGCAAAAGAGATCGATAGGCAGCAAAAATCTCCCCATCCATCCGCCACCTCCCAGCTCGCGCCGCAGCGATGCCGCATCCATCACTGTAATTGGGATTTAATAGCTCTGGAGGAACAGTCCTTCCCAGCTGCAAAGTCCTCCCGCTGCAGGCTTCCCCTAGGAATGAAGGACATTCCCTCGTCAGCCCCTGGAGAGGGACTTTGGACAAGGGGGAATGGCTTCCCACTGCCAGAGGGCAGGGTTAGATCCACACTGGGAAAAAATCCTTGGCTGTGAGGGTGGAGAGGCCCTGGCACAGGCTGGCCAGAGAAGCTGTGACTGCCCCAACCCTGGAAGTGTCCAAGGGCAGGATGGATGGGGTTTGGAGCAGTGTGGGATAGTGGAAGGTGTCCTTACTCATGGCAAGGGAGTGGAACTGAATGAGCTTGAAGGTCTCTTCCAACCACACACAACTTCACCACCTGGGATGAAAGAAACCATTTCTCCATTGGGCACAGAAAACAACTGCCCTGTCAGCACTTTTTCCCTCTGTCTCCTCTGTTTATTTACCAGGGTGCTTTTCCACTGGAGTGTTAAATACTGTATTAATAGAGGGATTTAATACTTCTCAGGCACTGTTTAAGCAACATCTCACCTGAGACATCACACGCTTCTCTAAGGATCATTAAACAGCATCAGCCTCTCTTTGCCTCTCTTCCTGCGGCGCCGGCTCGGATCCTGCTCGGAAAAGCATTGCCAGGGGGTTTGCCATGGTAAAAGGAAATTGCAATGCCACCTGATCACAAAATGACACTGGAACATCACCCCAACTCCCTCATTCCCACCAGCACATCCCAAAGAGAAACGAACCCCGCTTGGCAAAAGAGGGGAACTGGAGTTCGGAAAAGGTATCGCTCATTAATTTTCCTGGCTGGAGACAAGTCCTTCACGCCAGGTAGGGGTTTTTTAAGCAACATCCCCGTTTCATTTCCAATCTCTCTTAAACAACTCCTGAGCCACTGCCATAAACACCCCCTGCGCTTCCTTTCTGCCTCAGATCCCTGGTAAGTGCTGATGGATAAATTGGTTGCGTTGCCCGGGATAAATCATGCGGGAAAGCCAAAGCTGTAATTAAAATGTCTCTCAACCCCTCCGTTAACTCTGACTTAGCGAGACCAGATGCGTTGTGGCTGCAGGGAATAACCTGCTTGGGATCCAGCTCCGAAAAATGGATTCCTGGAGGGAGAAACTGGCTCTGAACGTGCCGACTCCACATGGGAGTCCCAACTCCCTCGGGAATACCATGGCTCTCCTCGTCCCCCATCAAAAGGGTGTGGGACCAGCATCCATGGCACAAGTGAGAGTTTTTCAAGGCCTTTTATTTTTGACAAAAAACGAGCTTTCGAGCGTGCCAGGGCTTTGTGTTGGCTCCAACTTGCCCAGGGAAAGCAAATTCCCCAAGCAGAGCTGGCACGGAGCTGGGTGGTTCCCCATCCCAATTGTTGCATTGGGAGGAAATAAAAGGGAAATACAATAAAAACTGTCTGTTCATGATAAATCCTGCATTTTTAAATGGATTTGACTCTTTTGGGGTTGTTGCCTCCCAAGAAAAGCCACAAGCAGATGCAGAAAGTGGTTTTTAAGATTCCCACTGCCTTTGGCTTCGCTCCTTGCTTTCAGCAGCAGAGCAGCAGGAAGATCCAGCCCTGGGGCTGTTTCTGTGCTCTGCTTTCTCTGGGAAACTCAGATATTCTGTTTGCAATGGCCTTAAAACCAGAAAGCAGCTCAGCCAGGTGGCTCTGAGCTTTCCAGCTGAATTCAGGTGTGGCCCAGCAATTCTGAGGCCAAAAACTGGGTATTTGGGGGCAGTGTAGGAGATGGGTCCTGCTCATCATCCCATGGGAACAAGCCTACGTAGAAAATGGTGCTTCTTGCAGATCCTTCCTCTCTGGAAAACAAAACTGACTCACAGTGCAGGGCAGTGTGAGTCACCGAGGGGTGCCAGGCAGCTCTGGGGTCCAACCCACCCCACAGGGATCCAGAGCATCCCTGCAGCCTGCATGGACATGACCCCCTCCACATCCCCATCCAAGGGGATAACAGGGACAGGCAGGGGCATTATCCATCCCATCCATCCCAGCACACAGGACATCCAGAGCATCCCTGCCTCCAGGGATGTGGCCCTATCCATGTTCCCATCCAAGGGGACAAGAGGGACAGGCAGGGGGATCACTCATCCTACCCCAGGGTGGGGTATCCAGAGAGTCCCTGCCTGCAGGGTCATGGCTCTGCATCCCCATCCAAGGGGACAGCAGGGGCATTATCCATCCCATCCCATCCCATCCCATCCCATCCCATCCCATCCCATCCCATCCCATCCTCCAGCCCATGCAATCCTCAGAGGGAGGCAGCAACAAGGCTCAGCATCTCTATTCCCACCTCTTTTCAGAATTAGGTCAATAGAAAAAGCAGGAAACCTTTATTTAATATTGATGAGGCAAATGGAGTTGCCATTGACTGGCACCGGCAGAGACTCACCCCGGTGCTTCCCGAAATAAGCTGCCAAATGGGATTTTGGGGTTGTTCCTCACCAATCCAGGGGGGTCAGATGCACTCACAGCCTTGCCTGCTCCCGGGAGGGATGAAGCAAACACGAGTGAGCTGCCAGCTCTCACTGCCAGGTCCTTCACATGCTGCATCCCTTAAATCCCACCTTCCCAGCTGCCAGGTTCACCATTAGCCAGGAGCAGGCAGAGAAGGATCTGGGGGCTTTCAGGAATGGAAAAAACCCCATGGCCATCCAGCCTCATCCCTGCCTGGGCCTCATCACATAGGATTAAGAAGAGGATGGATGGTTTCCTCCCCAAAAAATCCATCACCTGGACAGCCCCAAAAGCAGGATGGCAGCTGGGGACAAGAGGGACAATTAAGCTCCTCCTGGGGTGCTTTATCCCAGGCCAAAGCTCAGTACATCCTCCCAGGAACAGCAGCTCACACTTCAGAAGGGCTCATCACACTGGAGCCACCTAAGGAATGTTTTCCCTGGGCTTCCACAGCTAAATATGATTTTCTCCCTCACCAGCCTCAAGAGCTCCTTTCCCTGCATAGCCCAGGCTGCATTTTGCAAAAATAAAACCCTCAAATCTGCCCAAATAAAAGCCCCAGGAAGCTCCCAGCCAGAGCAGACATCCCCAGGGATGCTGTGGCACCATCTCAGGACCTTCAACGATGTCCCAGATGTGGGGACAACTCATCCCAGTGTCTGCCAAGGACGAGTTACCCGAGGGGTGGTTAATGGCTTCATTCCCCCAGCCCAGTGCTGGGCACTAAATAATATTAATGGCACCTCCTGGCTCCTCGTTAAAACTTGCACTGGCACTTAATTCAGGCTGTAGATCAAACCCCTCAATGAAATCACCATCCATCCCCTCCCTAATCAGAGGCTGAGACCAGCACACGTTCCCTCGTCTTGCCTTTAGGAATATTTTCCTATTGGAATGCAGAGCTTGGCTTCATGACAGGGAAGGACAACTAAAAATAGTCCCTCGCAGGTGATTTAGGGAGGTCCCTTCCTCACCAGGCCCTGTCAGAACCCTCTTGCATCCCAGCACTGGGATTAACCAGCCTGAATTCTGGAGCCATCTCAGACAGATGACAGCATCCCTTCGGGATTTTCCTCTTTATTCCACTGCTTGAGGGATGAGAATAAAGCAGAGGGATGAGGGCAGGCATTGGCTGTTTGCTCCCAGTGCTGGGGGATGGATGAGGGCAGCTCAGGTGGGGTTGAGAGGGGAACATGAAGGTTTTGTTCTGGGAATTCCAATCTTCAGACTATTTATGTCCAAAGCTGCATCCCAGAGACCACACCGAGCCCAGAAAGCATTGGCCAAAACAACCCCAAATTTATTTGTCAAGGCACAATAATCCCTTCAGATTCTGGACTTTAAATAATGACTAAAACCAGCAGAAGAGCCATCAGGGACTACTCCACCCCTGGAGCAGGACTAGGGATGTGCCACCTCGTTCACCTCGGCAGTTTGGGTGCCCCCACGCCCCCAGCAGCAACAGGAGGACCCCCAGGACATGCACAAGGGCAAAACCCCATGATCCCATGGGAAAAACGGGTGCTCAACCCCACACCCTGGCCAGGTTTGGCCCAACCAGTGCTTCAGCACCCAAAGCATCAGCTCTGTCACCACGGAGAGGACAGCAGGGCCTCACCTGGCCAGCAGGTGCCCCCCAAGGCCTGCCCTTCCCAAAAAAACCCAAGTCCTAAGCAGGAGATAACCACCCCAATGGGATTTTGCATTTAAGGCAAAAATATAAGTCCAGTGGGAACCACAGTGTTGCAAAGTGAAAAAAATAATTATCCCCACACGCCCCTGGAGTGGTGCCTCCAGGGGGGCCAAGAGCACCGTGCCTGGGGACCCCTGGGTCCCACCCATCTTCCCGGAGCCTCCAGGGCTCCAGCAGTCATTCCCAGGGACCTTGCTGAGCCCATCACCACTCTCAAGGCCTCTGGGCTTGGGAAGGGCAGTGAAATGTGCCCTGGGAAGGCAGCTGGAAGGCGGCTGGCTCAGCTGTGGCCACGAGGGAGGAGGCGCAGGGGGTGCCTGGGGAAGGGGTGACGCTGGTTGTTCTCAGCCCCACGTGGGGATGGACAGGGAAGATCCTCCATCCCACACACACCATCCCTGGGAGGGACACACCAGACTTCAGAGCTTGCCAGGGATGAAGAGATGCAGCCTCTTTGCAGCCCCAGGGCACCCCAAAGACATGGCCAGGGAGGGAGGAAGGTGATGGGACCCGGGATGAGGGGTGGCAGCAGGTCCGTGTCCTCCCAGGGGACCCGGACCTTGTCCCCACTGGGGACATCTCAGCTGGTCCAGGGCACAGGGCACTGCCCTGTCAATCAATTTCTTGCTCATTATCTGGGAAGGAAAAAAAAAAAGACTAAATAAATAACTGACAAACATATTAAAAAAGAATAACAACTCACAGGTCTAACTTAATAAGTTCACTTGGTTGCAGCAGCTCTGGGCTCTCCTTGCCCAGGAAAACTGGGATCCCCACGCCCAAGGGTGATGTCAGCCTCAGGTAAATACTACCAGGCACATTTAGGTGTGTTTTTATCCCTTCATTCATCCTCCTGGCTAGAAATGCCCCTGCAGCCAGCAAATCCTGGGAGGTGTTACTATCCAAGCTTCGTTTCTGCTGCAAAAGTGGTCGAGGAGCCAGTGGGAGATGTCTGGTACATGGGGTTAAGCAAACAGGATGCACTGGGAATGAAAAGCCAAGGGGCCAGGAAGCAGAGCACAGTTGAATGAAAGAGGAAGGAAGGGTTAAATTAGCAGTGATTCACCAGCAGCAGAGGCCAAGCCTCTGATTTAATAAGAAAGGAAATAAATTAAAAGATTGAGATCTGGGGATGGGAATGAGTCGGGGAGGAGCAGGACTGACCAGGCACAGAGAGCACTGGAGCCCAACACTGGGCTGGGAGGGGTGATGGGCTGCTGGCAGCACCGAGCCAGGAGGCTGGGAGAAGATAGAGAAAGGCAGAAACGGGAGCTGAGACACCAATTTCCATGGATTTCCACCTGAAATTCAGCACCAGTCTGCTGCTGGGGAATTCTGCGTGGGGAGGGATGGAGCTCTCAGCAAGGGCAAGACCAACCCCAGCAATTCCTCTTCTCTCAGCAAACCGACAGCAACACTCAAAATAACCCCAAATTCCTCACAGTGTCCAGAGCTGGTGGCAGGTGGGTTTTCCTGATCCCAAGGTGCCCAAGAAAAGGAAGGGTAAGAGAAAAAACATCCTGTGGAAGCCACTGGCTGCCTCACTCCATCGCTGCTGGGAGACACGGGTGGCACCCAGAGCAAGCACAGGCCAAACTGGGGTGGGAATGGGTGATGGGAAATCACTGATCTGGGAAAATCTGATTGAGAACTGGGGTGGAAAAAGACGAAAACTGAAAATACAGAGGAAAAAAAACCCCAAAATCCAATAGATGCTTTCCACATAGATCTGAGCATCACCTGAGGATGATGCTTAGGGTGAAACCTTCACCAGGGGCCAGCTCATAGTCCTGCCAAATTCACTCACCCTCTTTGCTCTCCGCGCTTTTCAGTAGCTGCAGAGCTGTGAAAAGCAAAACAGCACATGGTCAGTCCTTCACCCCTGCAAGGAGACACCTCCACAGAGGAAATAAGTAAAAACCCCACTTTAGGGAACCCACCCCAACAATTACATCAATTTCCATCACAAACCAAACCCTGGTCCCTAAATCTCCCCAGCAGAAGAGACAGCATCCCAAGCGGGGTTGCTCCTGTGCCAGCAGATAAAGGCAATCACTGGGCATATAATTAAACTGTTTGATGCTTTTTTATCTTGGGATGGACTGGCTTATCAGGGAGCTGCCAGGTGAGGGATGTGGCAGAGAAAGGGGGAGTGTGGGGGACTGAGCACTGATGGAGGGGCAGTAAAATGCACTCCCTGTATAACAAACCCTCAGGTTTATTATACGGGACCATGCACCCACCTGTCTTGGGTTCTTCCCCCTCCTCATCCTGCTCCTCTGTCCCTGCAAAAGAGCAAGACAGAGTGTGGGAAACGTGCCAGTGCCCACCCTGAACCCCACCTCCCTGGATTTTGGGGATGCCCCTTGGATCGCCGGCTGCTCGGAGCAACCCGCAATCACCACGTATCCCGGGGTTTGCTCGGGATCAGGTGCTGCTGAGCCGCTGGGGGTGCTCAGGGAGGTGACTGGCACCCACCTGCACCAGCACCCCATGGGGGTATTCCCCCAGCACACACTGTGCCAGCGTGGCACACTCCCTACAAGCAAAGCAGGAAAAGGTACAGCTCCAGGCGACGCAGCGCAGCCGTCGCATCCCTATTTATAGCACGGCTGCCATCTGGAGCAACACTCGGTGAGGGGCTTAGCGGGACACCACGGATCCCCTGGCACCTCCAGGAAACCCCACCACCGAGGGATGAGCACCTCCCTCCTACAGCACCCACCAGGCTGCCACCCTTGGAGCCCGGGAGCTTTTACACCTCATGGGCAAGTCCTGCCACGCTGCAGTTCCCAGCAGGAAAGCCCAGCAAAAATCGCTGCTCCCACGAGCCTGGCAGCTACGGGAGGCAGGAAGGGTCCCTGCCTGGCTTCTGGCTGAGCAAGAGCCACGGCAAAAGGTTATTCCTGAGGGTGGGTGTGCAGCCATCAGTAGAAAACATCACGGGGTGGGAGTTGTGTCCTGATGTTAAAGGACTGAGGTCAGCTGGCCCCAGGCCACGGCTGAGCATCACGGCCCTGAAAATCCCCTGGCTGAGGAGAAAATACTCTGTACAGAGGGAAAAATATTACATATATACATAAAAAAATACATCTGTAACTTCTGCAGATGTTTTCCTAGAGAAAAAAAACCCTCTGACCCCATTGCTGGGGACACGGACAGCCAGGGATCATGGTGGCATCATTGCTTCCAAGGTCCTTCTTGGAAGGGAGAGGAGTGAAGCAGGAGCCCCCGGGGAGGGAGACTGCGGGTCCCGACCCCGCAGAGCGATGTCGGCAGGGAAAGGCTTTGGCAGAGCGAATGCCTCGGGAGGCAGTGAGAGAAAACAACCGGGAACGCCAGCAAAGCTGCTTCCTCGGCCATTTTCGGAGCACAGCAGCTTTTTAAAGCAACAACCCCCCCCCTCTTTTTGTGCAAACACGTCTCCATAAATAAAAAAACCAACCCAAACAGGAGGAGGATGCAGGAAAGAAGAGCACAGAGCATCTCTCTTACGCTATTTCTACGGTGCTAAGTGCTAGAGGCACCTCCTTGGAGGAGATGCTCCTGGCTGTGAGTACCAGACACACGGAGGATGCTCAGAGCAAAAAAAGGGGGAGACAGCCTGGGTGGGAGGAAAACCAGGTGTATGTTTGAAAGAGCTGTCTGCAGCCAGCACGGGCTCTGTGGCCCAGATCTGCTGGTGCCAGCACTCCCAGCATCCCTTCATCCCTTAAAAGACACCACCACCAAGGCAAACCCGTGCTGGTTGACACTTGTCACAGCTCCCCCCATTCCATCACCCTCAGCAAACCATTCCCCCTTTCTGGGGGAAGGAGCTGCCCCATTACCTGCGTTTTCCTCCTCTTCCTCGCAGCTCTCCCGGATTTTCTTGTGGCACACGTAGGCCAGGACGACGAGCAGCCCCAGGACGCAGATGGCGAGTCCCACCGTGACCCAGAGCGCGGCGGCGGGGAAGGCGAGGTGCTGGCCTTGCAGGGGAGGGGACACACAACACCTGGGTGAGCACCACTGCCCAACCAGGGAACGTGTGCCCCACACCAGGACCCCGCGGTGCCGGGGGCATGTCCCCTGGAGGGAGTTGGTGGCACAAGGGTGGCTTTGGAACGCAAGCCATCGGTGCATAGAACTATGGCCTCCCCCAGCGGGTCTGGATCTGGCACGGAAGCAGGTCACTCCCTAAAATACTTCATTAAATCTTTACATAATTCCACTAATAAATTCAACTGCAGGATGACCCTTCCCTTGCTAAGAAGCTCAGGAGAAGCATCAGGTGATCCTGCACCTGCTCCCTTTCCCCTGTCACCTCATGCCAGGGGGGCACAAAGGATGGGAATCATAGAATGGCCTGGGTTGGAAGGGACATTAAAGCTCACCTCATTCCATCCCCTGCCACAGGCAGGGACACCTTCCACTATCCCAGGTTCCTCCAAGCCCCATCCAACCTGGCCTTGGACCAGAGATGGGGCAGCCACAGCTTCTCTGGGCAACCTGGGCCAGGGCCTCACCACCCTCACAGGGAAGAATTCCTTCCCAATATCCCATCTATCCGTGCCCTCTGGCAGTCTCAATACATTGTCCCTTGTCCTGTCACTCCTGACCCTTGTCCAAAGTCCCTCTCCATACTTTTGGGGGGTCCTTCAGGAACTGGAATAACATGGCAGGGACCACCAGGGCTCAGGGGATATCTCCTGGAGTGCTGAGAATCCAATTTTTACTGCTCCTTCTCCAAATATAGTCTTGCCCCAAGCCCTGCCCCTTCACAGATGTCACCCCAAGGTTGACCTTTTTTTTGCATGCTCAGGAGCCCATCCAAAAGCCACCCTCCTGTCCCCAACCAGCAGCATCCATGCAGGTTTTCCTGCAAGAGTTTGGTGCATCCAGCTAGAAAGTTTATGCTCCACCAGGGATCCACCTTCCTAACCTGCAAATACTGTACCAAGAGTAATTAAACACTAATTAATGCAATTGGGGAGGGCAAGAGGTTATAAGGAGCTTTGGGAGGGCAGGAGGCAGAGCTCAGAGTGAAGTGGTGAGGCTGAACGTGCTTGATGGATTCCTGCAGCCTGTATTCCTGAAGTAGGATTGGTGCAGCTGGGATGGAGATCCCCAAATTTAGAGCACCCCATGGCAACGGGCTAAGGAGAAGACACCTACTGATGGACTGGCACAGGGCAAGGAGCAAAGCTGGAGACTAAGAACTAAGGACACTGGTTCTTACTGGGATGCTGGTGTGGGGTGACAGGGGAGCCAGCACAGCCTCGAGTCACCCTTGTAGGTCCATGGGGGAGGTTGGTAGAGCAGGGACATAGCGTAGCAACACTCAGGGTGGCTTTGGGCCACAGTAGGGATCCCAGATCCCAGTGCCACCACCGTCACCTTCAGCAGACAGAGCCCAGCCCTTCCTTCCCCCAGATTTAGTGGCTCACCCACCCGTGATGGTGACGGACGCGTGGCCATGCTGCTGCAGCACCAGGTTCTGCACCAGGCAGGAGTAGGTGATGCTGGGCTCCACCAGCACCTGGAGGACGCTGTGCACATCAAAGAGACCTTCCTCGTTGGCCACCTGGGACGTGGTGATGTTCTCCGTGATGTTGCTGCCCCGGCTGTCCTGCCAGAGCACGCTGGCCTCGGGGTAGCCGCGGGAAGCGTGGCACGTCACGACGGCCAGGTCACCTGGCTTCAAGTCCTTGCTGGGCTCCAGGTGCACACTGGGCTTGGAGTAGGGAGCTGCAAGGCAAAGGACAACCAGCATGATGTGATGGAGACAACCAAAGGATCAGGATCGGGAGCAACCCAATGAGGTTGGGCAAGCCCCAGGACAGATTCTTCCAGCTGATAAAACCAATCAGCTGAAGGCTCCCCAACCTTGGATCATTTATGGCCATGCTTCCAAGTGTTCTCTTAACTGAGAGCTTCTCCATGACGGCAGGGAAGGGACTGTAACCCGCACAGCAATATTTTGGGGAGGTGCAGCTGGTTGGTCTCTAACAGAGACCTGAATTCATGGGGAAACCACAGCAGGGGTGGAGAGAGGGGCTCCACAAAGCATGATGGAGACCCTTTACTGCTGAGGAGACACACGGGGACAGCCCAGCTCCCCCTGCCTCACCTGCCACCTGCAGCGTCACCGCGGCGCTGTTGTAGTCGCGGACGCGCACGAAGCAGGTGAAGCTGCCCTCGTCCGCGATCTCCACGCGCCGCAGCAGCAGGGACACATTGCCCTGGGGCAGCTGGTCATAGAAGAGGGATGTACGGTTGGTGTAGACCCTGCCCTGGTCTTCCAGCTGGTCCCGGCCACCGGAGAACCTGTGGACCAAGCGCTTGGTGTCTGTCAGCTGCCAGATGAGGCTCAGGTCGTCCAGGCTGAAGTTGGCCTCGGGGGAGAAGGAGCAGCGCAGGGTGGCGTCCTGGCCAAAAAGAGCCACCACGGGCTCATCTGGGACCTGGATCTCCATGGCACCTACAGGAGGGTGACAAGGGCAAAAGCACGGGGTGGTGGGACCTGCAGAAGCACCTCCTTAAGCTTCCACCTGGATAACATCTAAGCAAACGGAGGGATGCCCATGGGTGGGACCCGTGGGCAGGTGGCATCTCAGGACCATCGCCAGCCAAGCCCACCCTGCCAGGAGGGAGACAGCCCCACGTCCAGCACCACACCAGGGGCACCAGTGCCTTCAGATGCCAGACACAGCCACGGGCACCCAAACCTGCACCCCTCAGGACACACAGCCTGGATTGTCCCCATGGGGAGGGGAGGTCAGAGGGTGACAGCATTAGGGACACAGTCCCGTGTCCCCAAGGATGAGCCAGGCTGGCAGGCACTAGATGGCACCAGTGCTCCAGCATGATGCCAACCAGTGTGCCATGGCATGGTGCCAACCTCATCCCAGTGCCATGGCAAGATGCCAACCAGTGTGCCATGGCATGGTGCCAAACTCATCCCAATGCTCCAGCACAATGCCAACCATGTCCCAGTCCCACGGCACAATGCCAACCCTACCATGGAGCAATACCAGCTGTGCCAGGGCTGCTGGACCTGAAGGTAGTCCTGGGGTGCCTGTTGGCACCCATGTCCCCCAAAGCAGATCCCATTCCCAAAACAGGGAGGAAAAGGGGGGAAATCTCACCTCAGACCATGGATTTACTTTATATTTCAAGCTCAGCACCGCTGCAGAACACGGCAAAGCCCTTCCCACAAATACCTCCCATGGGACGAGGGCAGTAATGAGACATTAAATTTGAGGCAAGAGACTGCGTGGGGAGGATGAGGAGCTGTGGGGGAGGATGAGGAGCTGCAGAAAGGAGCCAGGCAGGAGGAGCCCTGCCAGGGGCTGCAGATGGACAGACAGGCAGGACAAGAGCACTGGGCAGCCTGCCTGGCTCCAGGGAGACTCCAGAGTGTCACGTCTCCCTACAGTTAATAATAAATGCCAGTGGGTTTTAGGAACCAGCCTGGTCAGAATCGCTGCTGGCTGTGGAATCCAAAAGGATTCAGTCCTGAGGTCTCTCCCAGGTAAGTCAAAACCTTCAGGATTTACTCCTCCCCTAGCTTTGCCATTCAGCTGTAGCACGTGGAAGGAGGTGTCCCCTGCCACGAAGTGCCACCACAAGCCATGGCCAGGGTGATGCCCTGGGCAGCCAGAGGACCACAAAACAGGAAAAACACCTTGGGGGACCTGCCACCAGGAACCACAGAGCAAAGGCAGCTTTGTTGGGATAAACATGGCACTCAGGAAATGTCCTTTGGAGTGGTGACACGCTGACCCCCCCTCAGCCCTACTCACCTGCCAGCACTCCCAGGACAAGCAGCAGGAAGAACATCCTTGGCAGAAGCAAAGTCGGGATAAGAAAGTAGGAGCAAGCACGGCCCCGGGAGTCCTCACAGGGAGCCTTCTCTCCTGGAACAAGAGCTCTGAGCTGAAGAAAAACAGAAGGAAACACTGAGATGGTGCTGGGAACCAGGGACAAAGAGCAAGAGAAGGGAGGAGACCGGCATCAGGCTGGGGATCCTACACCAGCCGTCCCTACGGAGCACCCACCCCGTCACAAAACCTGGGAGGGGGTTCACCTCCAGCCTGGCACCAGCCAAGGGATTGCTGCATCCCCAGCATCGGGGAGCCGATGGAGCCGGAGGCAGCCCTTGTGCTGGAGGCGTTGGCCAGTGCCCTGGGGAAGCCACGTGAGCCTCTTCCCTTCCTCCCTGCTTCTCCTCCCCTTTGTTTCTCTCTTTCCCAGCTTTTCCCCGCAGCAGCATTGGGCTGTTACATCCCTGTCCTCCAAGAGGAGGCAACTCGCTCCCAGTGTCCAAAATTGCTAAAAACTAAACAGAAGAAGCTAAACGGGAGAGGTTTGCAGATTCCTGGCTCCGCCAGCAGCTGGAGGGCTGGGAGGTTCATCCCTGTTCAAGGCAGAAAAATCTCCGGCATGAGGTTGTCCCGAAAAATGGGGAATAGAGCCAGAGCGCCTCAGAGCTGGATGTGGGGAGAGGTGAGGGCAAGCTGCCCGGCACCGCTGGCTACTCTGGCCGGATTCCTGAGCATCCCTCCCGGCCCTGCCAAGAGCTCGTGACCCGCGTTCCTCCCTCACAGCAGAAATGAGCCCCAGATATCGCAGCCAGCGGCGCCGCTGCCGTGTCCCATCCCTGTCCCAGCACATCCCAGAGCTCCCCTGCTCCGCCTGGAGCCTCTAGCACCAACACAGCCAAGTTTGAAATAAATCAGTGTCGTGGCACCAGTTGCCTGGGGGGCAGCGGGAACCACGTGAGCCATCGGCACCTTATTCCTTAAACCCCCCTCAGTCAGGGAAAAGGCAGCCCCGAAGCTCTGGTCAGCTCAGCTCCCATGGGGGAAACTGAGGCACAGGGAATGGGGGTAGCTGAGGCACAGTTTTGCCCCAAGATCTCTGAGGGGCAAAATCCCCTCTCCTTCCATCCCACGCACGAGGCTCTTTGGAGAAAACAAATTATCCAGCTTTTTTCTTAAACCTGACTCTTGCCTTTTCCCAAGTGCACAAGCCCAGAGTCAGCCTTGTGCTCAATGTCAGGGAACTGGGAAGGGAAGGGAGGGAGCCGTGGCAGGAGAGGGTGATGGGGCATCACTCAGCTGCCCAGACGAGGGAAACCATGACTCATCTCCCTTGGAGTTCTTCCCTTTTCCTGGTGATGCTAAAATAAATTATATTTTACAGGTTTCGTGACCTACAAGTCCTGCCAGACCCGCTCAGAGGTGTCACGGGAAGGGGACACCCATGTCCCCAGTCCTCCTTCTGCAGCTGGGACTCTTGCCTTTCCGTGACTCAGTTTCCCCATTCCTGTGGTGTCATCCCGGGACAAAGGATGGGCTCTGTCCCAGATCTGAGCTTCTGTCATAAATTGGGATGTAAGGAACTCCACAAATACATTCCTTGGAAGAGGAATGCCCTTGTGAAGGCAAGCCAGGAGGCCGGATCCTCCAGAAACCCAAGGAATAACTAAATCCCCCCAGGAATCATACCTCATCCCTTCTCTATTTTTTATTTACTATCACGGAGCTTTTTTATAATACCCACATTATCAGCTGCCAAATTATCACCCTGAGGTGTGAAGAAAAAATCTACAGATCCAGGGATATGTCCTCACCTCCCAGTCCAGCTCAATCCCAACTTTTGGGGGTGCCTGGGTTGAGCTCCCCACTCCGCTCCTCTCCTGCCTGGGGTTTGTGCCAGCCAAGAGCCCAGCTATGCTCTAGACTATTTTTAGTTGCTGCTCAGTTTCTGGGTGCACAGCAGCAGCTCCTCACTCGGGACTCTGCAGGGATGGGGGACACAGCAAAGCAGGGGTGGAAGGATGGGGTGCAACCCTCAAATTCCAGGTGCGGATTCAGGGTGTGATGTTTGGAGTTAGGGAGGGACAAGGATTTGGAGTGCAAATGCAGGAAAAAGGGTTCAGGGTGACACTTGGTGGCAAGGAAGGATGAGGATTTGGGGTGATACTTGGTGGGAGGATGGAATAAGGATGCAGGGTGATACTTGGTGCCTGGAAGTGACAAGGATTCAGGATGATACTTGGCAAGAGGAAGGGATGAGGATTTGGGGTGCAATACTTGGTGGCAGGAAGGGACAAGGATTTGGGATACAAGACCTGGCAGGAGGAAGGGACAAGGATTTGGGGTGATATTTGGCAGGAGGAAAGAATATAAATTCGGGGTGACAGGAAGGAGGGGGGTATCTCTTGTCTCAGCCCAGGGAAAAGGGGAACAACCACTTCCCCTCGGGATTCTGTCCCACGCGTGGGTTGTGTTCAGCCCAATACACCAAATAGGGCGGTTTAAATCGGATTTCTAAGCATGCCGGGATGCCGCCTTCCCTGAATCCATACCCGCCATGGGAAGCGACGGGGCCACCGCCTGCCCCCCGGGACTGCCCGCACCGAGACGGAGGGACCCCGACCACCCCCCCCAACATCCGCCGGGGCTCCCCGAGCCCCCCAGCCCCGGCTGCGCCGTGTCCCCCTGGCGGGGCTCGGCTCGGGGGGAGCCCCATTCATTCCGCCCTCCCGGAACACCGCCCGGGTCCCGCGCCCCGGCCCGCGGGGGCGGCGGCGGCTCCTCCCGCGGGGCTGCCCCGCTCCCGGCCGGACCCCCGGCACCCCCCGAGCCCCCCGGACCCGGTGCGGTCCCAGCACCGCCCCCGGGCCGGGCGGGTCCCCCCGCACTTACCGGGCAGCGGCGGCGGCAGCGCGGGGTCCGGGCGGCGGCCCCGGCCCGATTGGCTGCGGCTGCTTCCTGCCGGGAACGGCGCGGGAGGAGCCTGGAGCGGGACACTGGGGAGAGCGGGGCTGGGGGACTGGGGAGCCTGGAACTGAGGGACTGGGGAGAACAGGACTGGGGGATCGGGGAGAGCAGGACTGGGGGATCGGGGAGAGCGGGGCTGGGGGATTGGGGTGCACAGAACTGGGGGACTGGGGAGCCTGGAACTGAGGGATCGGGGAGAGCGGGGCTGAGAGATTGGGGAGCACTGAGCCAGGGTGATTGAGGAGCCTGGAGCTGGAGGATTGGGGAGCTGGGGGATTGGCGAGCACGGGGCTGGGGGACTGGGGAACCTGGAGCTGGGGGATTGGGGAGTTGGGGGATTGGGGTGCACAGGGCCGAGAGAGCGGGGTGCGTTCAGCCGGGAGATTGGGATGCATGGGGCTGTGGGATTGGGGTGCGCAGGCATGGGGGTTTGGGGAGCACTGAACCAGGGGGATTGGGGTGCATGGGGCCAGGGGGTTGGGGTGCACGGAGCTGGGAGAGTCGGGGAACACCAGACTAGAAGAATGGGGTGCACAGAGCCAGAGTTTATGGATTAGGGTGTCTGACGCTGGGGGATCGGGGTGCACTAAACTGGGAGGGTTGGGGGCACCAAGCCAGGGGGATTGGGGTGCACAGGGCTGGGGAATTGGAATGCACAGAACCAAGAGGGTTCAGCCAAGGAATTGGGGGGTCTGGTGCTGGGGGATTGGGGTGCAGAGCTGGAAGGGTTGGGGTATACTGAGCCAGGTGATTTGGGGTACACTGAGACAGGGCATTAGGGTGACTTCAGCCAAGGGACTGGGGTACATGCTGGGCCTGGGTATTGGGGTGCACAGAGTTGGGGAAGCAGAGCTTATAGAGCCAGGGGATTGGGATACACGTGGCCTGGGCATTGGGGTGCATGGAACTGGGGTACACATAACCCAGGGCACAGGGGTGCATGGAGCCAGGAGACCAGAGCACAGGAAGATGGGAATGTTGGGATACACAGAGTTGGGGGTCCAGGACACACCAGTGCAGAGGATTGGGGTACACAGAAGCAGGGAACATGGGGGTGCACAGGGCTGGGAGAACAGGGTGCATGGAGCCAACCCTCAGAGCTGGGAGATGCAGACCCAGGGGATTGGGGTGCATGAACCGGGGATTTTGGAGACCTCAAATTCGGGATGGGGTGCACAGAGCCAGGAACAAAAGGCAGCTTGAGTTTGCCCTGCAGAGACCAGGTTGCTTCCCAGGAAAAACCTGGTTAATGATTTACCCACACCAGCTGCCCAGAGGCATTAGCAACCCCACACTGTGCTGGGCAGAAAGTGCTGCCTGGGGCTAGAGGGGGAACCCCCAAATATTTGGGAGCCGTGGCACTGGAAAGGGACACCCATGAGAGTCCCCCATCTAGAACAGCAAGACCTCAGTCACACAAGCATCGGGGCAGCCTCCCTCCTGCATCAACCACCCAAAGGGAGCACGGTTTCCTTGGAAAACCCCTCTCACCACCTTTTGGGGTTTGCTTTCCAGGGGGTGCAGCCCAGCTGGGCTCTGGGGGTCCCCACCATCGCTCCCACAGCCCAGCGGGTCGCTTTTGGCCGGGGCAGGGCTGCAGTGCTGAGCCTCCTCCCACGCTCCCACACACACAATGTCTCCTTTTATAGGGCCTCGGGACACCCAGCACTGCTCCTGACACGCATGGAGGGATGCATCCGCACGGAGACTGGGAAGAGAGCACGGCAGGGAAGGAAGAAGAGGAGGAGAAGGAAGAGCGGGGCACTGGGAGGGATTTTTCAGCAGCACACACACAACAGATGTTTCCCCAAAGGATGCAGTTTCTGTTTTTTAATGTGATTTTCTCAAGGGGCCCCTCCACACCAGCAGCTCTTACTGTTTCTCCAAGGATCCAGTGGATTCCCGGGGCTCCATCAGCTGCAGTCTGTGCTCCAGAGCCAGGTGCCTGTGTGGGAGGTTTGGGTCTTTCATTGCTCCAGAGCAAAGGAAGCTCCTCACCCTTTTGATTACAGAGGAAAGCTGGAACAACCAAACCTGGAGAGCTTAAAATTAAAAGGCAAGTAAAAATAACCCAAGACATGCTATATTTAAAACCATTTCATTTCTTTTACCCCCTTGCAGGCAAGGAAGGATTTTGCAGTGCTGGAGCTGGTAAAAGGCTGCATGGCTTGACCCCGGCACCAACGGGGGAGAGCAGCAGGAACGGGAAGGGATGAGGCCAATGTGCTTCAGAAGGCTGTGACTAAATGGGGAGCCCTGCTCTCAATTCACAGATGTGCCCTGCAAATCAAGAGGGTTTCTCTTTCCATGCCCAGCCTGCAATGGGCAGTGCTGGGTGT